AAAAAAAAAAAAAAAAAAAAAGATCTATCCTGAAGTGTAATGCTGTCAGTGATAGGATAATATCCATATACCTACAAGGAAGCCCAGTTAATACTACTACTATTCAAATTTATCCACCAACGACTAAAGCCAAAGATGAAGAAATTGAAGATTTTTACCTACTTCTACAGTCCAAAGTTGATCAAACATGCAATAAGATGTATTGATTATTACTGGTATTTGGAATGTGGAAGTTGCAAAGAAAGAAGACTCATTGGTAGTTGGAAAATATGGTCTTGGTGATAGAAATGATGCCAGAGATCGCATGATAGAATTTTGCCAGACCAATAGCTGATTCATTGTAAATAACTTTTTTTCAACAACATAAATGGTGGCTTTACACATGGACCTCACCAGATGGAATACACAGGAATCAGACTGAGTATATTTGTGGAAAGAGGTAATGGAGAAGCTCAATTCTTCAGTCAAAATAGGGCCAGGAGCTGACTGTGGAACAGACCATCAGTTGTTCATACGCAAGTTCAAGTTGAAGCTGAAGAATATTAAAACAAGTCCACAAGATTCAAAATATAATCTTGATTATATCCCACCTGAATTTAGAGACTGTCTGAAGAATAGATTTGAGGCATTGAACACCAATGACTGAAAACAGAACAAATTGTGGGATGACATCAAGAACATAATACATGAAGAAACCAAAAGATCATTAAAAAACAGCAAAGGAAGAAAAGATCAAAATGGATGTTAGAAGAGACTTGGAAATTTGCTCTTCAATGAAGAGTAGCTAAAGCAAATGGAGGAAATGATGAAATAAAACAGCTGCACAGAAAGAAGATTTCAAAGGGCAGCTTGAGAAGATAAAGTATTATAAAAAAAATATGCAAAGACCTGGAGTTAGAAAAACAAAGGGAAGAATACACTTGGCATTTCTCAAGCTGAAAGAACTGAAGAAAAAATTCAAGCCTCAAGTTGCAGTATTGAAGAATTCTATGGGCAAAATATTGACTGATACAGGAAGTGTCAAAAGAAGATGGAAGGAATACCCAGAGTCACTGTGTTGACCAAAAGAATTGGTCAATGTTCAGCTATTTCAGGAGGTAGCATGTGATCAACAACCAATGGTATTGAAGGAAGAGCTCCAAGCTGTACTGAAGGTGTTGGAGAAAAACAAGGATGCAGGAATGGAGGGAATACCCATTGAGATGTTTCTATAAACAGATGTATCACTGAAGGACTTACTTGCTTATGCCAAGAAATTTGGAAGACAGCTACCTGGCTCACTGACTGGAAGAGATTCATATTTGTACCCATTCCAAAGAAAGGTGATCCCACAGAGTGTGGAAATTATCAAACAATATCACATGCAAGTAAAATCTTACTGAAGATAATTCAAAAATGATTGCAGCAGTGTATTGACATAGAGCTTCCAAAAATGCAAGCTGGATTCAGAAGAGGATGTGGAATGAGAGATATCTTGCTGATATTACATGGATCTTGGCTGAAACCAAAGAATACCAGAAAGATGTTTACTTATGTTTTGTTGACTATGCAAAAGCATTGGATTGTGTGGATCATAACAAATTATGGATAACATTAAGAAGAATGGGAATTCCAGAACACTTGATTGTACTCATGAGAGCCTGTATGTAGATCAGGAGGCTATCATTTGAACAGAACAAGAGGATACTGCGTGGTTCAAAATCAAGAAGGGAGTGCATCAAGGTTTTATCCTTTCACCATAGTTATTTAACTTGTATACTGAGCAAATAATCTGAGAACCTGGTCTTTTATGAAGAAGAACGTGGCATCAGGATTGGAGGAAGACCCATTAACAACCTGTGATACATAGATGACACAACTTTACTTGCTGAAAGTGAGGATGGCTTGAAGCATTTACTGATGAAGATTAAAGATTACAGTCTGCAGTATGGATTATACCTCAATATAAAGAAAACAAAAATCCTCACAACTGGTCCAATAAACAGCTTCACAGTGAATGGAGAAAAGATTGAAGTTGTCAGATTTCATATTGCTTGGTTTTATAATCAACACCAATGGAAGCAGCAGTCAAAACATTAGACAACATATTGCATTGGGCAAATCTGCTACAAAGACCTCTTTCAAGTTATGAAGAGCAAAGATGTCTCCTTGAAGACTAAGGTGCACCTGACCCAAGTCATGATGTTTTCAATCCCCTCTTATGCTGTGAGAGCTGGACAATGAATAAGGAAAACCAAAGAAGAGTTGATGCTTTTGAGTTGTGGTGTTGGAGAAGAATGCTAAGAGTACCGTGGTCTGCTAAAAGGACTAACAAATCTGTCCTGGAAGAAGTGGAGCTGGAATGCTCCTTGGGAGCAAGAATGGCAAGACTTAGTCTCAACTGTTTTGGTATGTTGTTAGAAGGAACCATTCCCTGGAGAAGAATATTATGCTTGGTGAAGTGGAGGGTCAACGAAGAAGGGGAAGGCCCTCCACAAGATGGATAGACACAGTAGCTGCAACAATGGGCTCAGGTATAGCAAAGATCGGGAGGCTGGCACAAGACTGGGCAGTGTTTCATTCTGCTGTGCTTAGGGTTGCTATGAGTCGGAGATGATTCAATAGCACCTAACAACAACAACAACAAGAATAAATTTAGCCAAGGATGTAAAGGACTTATAAAATGAAAATTGTAAAACACTGACAAAAGAGATTAAAGATGACATGTATAAATAGAAAGATGTTCCAAGTTCATGGATCGGAAGACTTAATATTGTTGAGATGTTAATACTGTCCAAAGTGATCTATTGATTTAACACAAACCTGATCAAAATTCCATCAACCTTCTACTCATAAATAGAAAAACCAATCCTCAATTTTATATAGAATGGCAAGAGGCCCTAAATAGCTAGAGCAATGCTGAAAGAGAACAGAGTAGGAGGACTCACACTTCTTGATTTTCAAACATATAATACAGCTACAGTAATTACAACAGCCTGGAACTGGTATAACAATAGAGCAATATAATAGAACTGAGAGTCCAGAAATAAACCTACACAATTATGATAGACTGATATGAAAAGGTGCTAAGTCATTTGATGAGGAAAAATGTTAGTTGTTAGGTGCCATTGAGTCAGCTCCCACTCATAGTGACCCTGTATACAACAGAACAAAACACTACCAGTCATGCACCATACTAACAATCCTTGTTAAACTTGAGCCCATCGTTGCAACCACTGTGTCAATCCATCTTGTTGAGGGTCTTCCCCTTTTTCTCTGACCCTCTACTTTACCAAGCAAGATATCCTTCTCCAGGGAGTGGTCCCTTTGGAGAACATGACCAAAGTAGGGGAGATGAAGTCTGGTCATTCTCACTTCCAAGGAGCATTCCTGCTCTTAGGTATTTTATTCTCTTAGATGGTATTGTTTCCCTAATTTCCCTTTTAGGTTTCTCTTTTCTAGTATGTGGAAACCCAAGTCATTTTCATTTGTTGACATTACATCTTGCAACTTTGCTAAATACTTTTATTGCAATTTTTCTTGCAGACTCTCTGGGTCCCTGTCATTTTTGTCAAGGAGAGGAACTCTAGCATTGGGTTGCAACTCTTTCTAGGTCAGGAGGTGTAGTTTTTCCAGGAAACTAAGACCCTAAGCTTTACTGGATTGCTGTGGTGATTGTTTTGGTTATATTAGAGTTACAGCCTAGAACACAAAGAAGCAGATTGAGACCCAGAAAGGCAGGTGGCTCTCCATGGTCTTCCAGCAAGTGGGAGGCAGAGCCCCTAAGTCCAATCCCTGATACTGCACCCCTTCTGGAGCTGCTACAGGGAAGTGTGTATGAATTCTCTCCCCTACATCACCTGGGGGGGGGGTTGCTGAATAAGTGCAAATAAAAAACACATTATGGGGGCCAGGCTCCTGAGTTTGTGCCTTCTATTGTGTGACCTTGTGCAAGTTGCTTTAACTCTCTGAGCTCACATTTCTCCATATGAAGACAAGGACAATAGCAGTGCCTGCCCCATCATGCTACCATGATGACTCTATGGAAGGGTGCAGGTGAAACACCTGTGAGGATGCAGGTGAAAACCTGCAGTGGAGCCTGGCACATGGCTCAACCTTGACAAACAGAAGTCCTATCATCTTCATCTTGCTTTAAGAGTTTTGCTTCTGAACATGCTGCATTAATTCATCCATACAGCTCTTCACCCAGATCTTTGGGGTTGGGGTGAAGACTGCTGACCGGTGGTACCAGGAAGGGCTACGGACTCTAGATGACCTCCTCAAGCAGCCTCAAAAACTGACCCAGCAGCAGAAAGCAGGTGAGCCGTCTCTGAGAGGATGAGCCCTGGGCTTCCCTGAAAACCACCTAGATCTTGAAAGCTTCCCATGTAGTATAGTCTTCCGCACTGACACACAGGAAATGCTGATTGCTGCCTGGGGACCAGGAGTACAGAAGCTGAAAGCAGGCAGCCCAAGGAAAGGGATCCTGGGTGTCCACCCCATGGAGACAGGATTACCCTACTATTATTACTTAGTTCATGATGGTAACGTTCTGGTGGCTCCTATTGGGACTGAATATGGACTTCTTATTCCTGACTCCAGCGTTGGCTCATGGGGAAGTATATCTGAGCAGCCTGGGTCCTGGGCACACTTTCTTGTCCAATGTGGTTTCTGATGCTGAGTGCATGTGGACCTGACAGATGGCTCAGCTCCATGCTAATAGAGGGATTGGAGATATGGTAGAGGCAGCAAGGGCCTTTGTTTTGGGAGGTGGCACCATGCAATGGGAAAAACATAAATATAGTTCTCAGGCCTGTGTTTGAGTCCTGTTTTTGCCACCTGTTCTGCAGGTGACCATGGCCTCTCTGAGCCTCAGTTATTTTTTATGTGAAAGGAGGAAAATAAAGATGGCATTGGAATTCCATAAGCTTCTCTGGGAGTGCTTGGTACATGGTTGGCATTCCCTTCATTCTGTGTAGGCTTGCTTGGGTTGCTTGGCTTACCCTGGGTTGAAGCTCTTCTCCCAGAGCAGCCTGGGCCCCTTCCAGGCTGAGTAGGTCCCCATGGCCAAGCAGGCACTATAAGCTTGCTTCCTCTTTCAACAGCTTCCCTGGGGCTAGGGAGGGCAGATAGTTATTATTTCAAAACCCATTCCTGGAGGATCTAGATGAGGGAGGGGAGACCACTTAGGTGAGCCACCTGGTTTATTCAACAGGAAGTGAGAGCTTTGACTAATGGAGGGTTAAATATGTACTGTTCCTTTGACTCTGCTCCATTACCTCTCCCCAGAAGTAAAGATGAGAGTAGCCAGCAGTCATATTTGAGAGCTCATTCTGTTTTGGGTGTTGTGATTCTTCACTTTTAAACCCCCTCAACTGTGTATAGAGGGTACTATATTTCCTACTGGCAGGTGAGGAGACTAAGAGACTTGGGTTCAAGTGAGGTGTTAATAAGTCACAGAGCCATATTCTTAACCATATGTCTTTACTCCCTCACCCCCATCCCATTTTACAGACTGGAAAACAAGCATTAAAAGGGAGAGTCTTTATCTTAACTGTGTCGATGTTGGTGTCCTGTATGATACTGCACCACAATTCTGCATGATGTTACCACTGGAGGAAACTGGGCAAAGGGTGCACAGCATCTCTGTGTTATTTTGTACAACTGTGGGAGTCTACAATCATCTTAAAACAAGCTTGATTTTAAAGAGAGGGAGGGTATAGTGTTGTGCTTAGATTGGGGTCTTATTCTGGTACCTGCACCCTGCTCTTGCTCTGTCCTTTGGCTTCTCTCTGGCTCCACAGAGCCCCAGGGAGAGTGCTTGTCCTTGAGGAGAACACAAAGCTCTGGCAAGTAAGCATGCCGAGACTCAGCAGAGGTTGGTACTCACAGGGCTCCAGCATCACCAAGACCTGAGCACCCCAGTGCAGCAGCAGGATGCGGAGGCTCTGCAGCAGCTGGTGGAAGCAGCTGTGGCACAGGTCCTGCCTGGTGCCACTGTCACATTGACTGGGAGCTTCAGGAGGTAAGGGAAGCCTTATATAGCAAAAGCCCAAATATGCCCTTCCTAGCTCTGTTCCAGACCCCTGCAGTGAAGTGGGCTGGGAACACTGAGGCAAAACTCCCCCTCATTGAAAGGGGCTTGGGCTGGAGGGAAGAAGGGGTATGTGGTGGGCTGCATTCCCAGGTCAGGGCCATGAAGTCAGTTTTGTCCATCTCAGGGGGAAGTTGCAGGGCCATGACGTGGACTTGCTAATCACTCATCCTCAGGAAGGCCAGGAGGCAAGGCTGCTGCACAGAGTGGTGGGCTATTTAAAGAACCAGGTGAGGGGTTGAGGGTGCAGGAGTGGCCAGTAGGAGATGCTGGGCAGTTCCTGCAGCAGGCCTGGGCTCCAACCTCTCCTAGCACTGCTGGACAGTGCCCAGCCTGCCTCCCTCTCCCTGCAGGGCCTCATCTTATACCACCTCCACCAGCACAACCATTATGGGGACCCTACCCACCTGGCATGGCAGAACCCCACCATGGATGCCTTTGAAAGGAGTTTCTGCATTTTCCGCTTGCCACAATCCCCAAAGGTGGCTGTAGCGGGCGCCCAGAGGCCCCGCCAGGCCTGGAAGGCTGTGAGGGTAGACCTAGTGGTCACTCCAGTCAGCCAGTTCCCTTTTGCCCTGCTTGGCTGGACAGGCTCCAAGGTAGGGGAGTGTGTTGTGGTGGGGTGGGTCTGGTGGGTGGTTGGGGTGGGCCCTGCTGGTGGCAGTCTCTTGTCTCTTCAGCATTTTGAACGGGAGCTGCGCTGGTTCAGCCGGAAGGAGAAGGGGCTGTGGCTGAATAGTCATGTGCTCTTTGACCCAGAGCAGGTACACTGCTATGGCCTGGGAGCCTGGGGACAGGAAATAGCCATTGAAGTCTGCTCCCTGGCCCTCAGGGGAACAAATCTAGGCCTGAGGACCCTCTATCCTGATACCTGTAAGGCCAGAATGTGGGTCTTTATATCCCTGATCAAAGCCTCTCAAGAGTAAACCTCCATGGTGGTTATGGTGGTAATGCCCTCACAGCCTCGCCCCACAGCCTCTCCATGAAAGCAGCTCTGATAGCTCTTGGTGCCTGCCACAGTAGAAAGGCCTGTGATGAGCCTGTGTTGTGGGGCTGCTCAGAGCTTGGCTCCTGGCCACTTGTCCTCTGCTTCTGTTGTAGAAGAAGTTTTTCCATGCGACTTCAGAGGAGGACATCTTCAGACTTCTGGGCCTGGAGTACATCCCCCCTGAGCAAAGAAATGCCTGATCCTGTCCATCAGTACCTCCCCTACTCCCACTAGCGTTCTTTTTCATGGGGACATCACAGGAAGCCAGTCCTCATGTGCCCTCCTGCAGTGGAAGATGTGCCCCTGTCTCTGTGTCTTGACTACCCCACCCCCCTAACGGAAGGTTGAATTCCCACTTATCTGATCCAGGGTACCTCTTGTCCACCTGAGCCCAGGGCCTGGAGGTTATGTTGTTTCTGTTGAGTGGAATAAAAGTATGCACTGGCTTAAAGAGCTGTGCTTTCTGAACATGCTGCTGTGTGATTAAAGAATGTGAAGTAGGGCTCTGTCAGAGGTCAGTTCTCCTGGCACACTGCCTACCTGTTAGCTGTGCCTGCGCCATAAGAAGGAGTCTGTCCATGCTCAGGTTCAGACCAGCATTACTGATGGGCTGAATGCTTAGCCCCTCTGTGCTCAGGCTCTTCACCTGTAAGATGGGCTCTGAATGGTGCTTACTTCACAGAGTTAGCAGGCCTGAGACTGAGTGTGAATTGCTCAGCACAATACCTGACCCAGTTCTCAATACATAGAGGTTGGATTATTGTTACTATTACAGGACTTAAAGCAAAATGTCAGGAGGAGAGTAACTGTTGCCCGTTGCCCACCAGCCACTTTGGGCCCAGTAAGTGAGCCATTAGCGAGCTTTTGCACATGTTTTAAGTGGTGTCTTAGTCTTCGTTCTCCAGAGAAGCAAAACCAGTGAAACATATATCTGAATATATAAGGAGAGATTTACTTCAAGGAAATTGCTCACACAATGGGCAAGTCCCAAATTTGTGGGCCCAGTGGTAGGCTGGAGACCTCTGCTGGCTCACTGGGTTATAGGGGCTAGTGAATCCAAGATCTCAGGTCAGGCAGCAGTCTGGAGACTGCTGTAGGCTTGCATCCCAAGAACCAGAGATCACGTGATGAGAAAAGTATAGGGTCCAGAAAGAGTGAGCTTTGCCAGAATGTACATTTATATATATATTGGACATGGGCCACACCCCTAAAGGAGTTTGAGGCTCCTGTACATGAGCCAGTGGGATGGGACCATAACCTCTGCCCAAAGCTGAGGGGGCAGGTCTGCCATGACCCAGGGACAGAAGATAGGGCCAAGGGGATGAGGTCATCTTTCAGATGACTTGGAGAATTGGGCCACCCAAAACCAAAGAAGCAGAGTTGTTCCAGTGAACCTGGAAGGCAAAACTGAAGCCCAAGATCAAGGGGCCCCACCAAATCCAGAATCCAGACAGCATGGTCAACACCCAGGGTCTGGAGGGCAGGGCCATTGCCTAGATGGTCTCAAAGAGCAGAGGATTATTTTTAAGCCTTGAGAGCTAATGTAAATGTTCTGCTGGGTTTTTTTACTTACTTGATACTGTTATCCCATCTTTTGCTTAAATTCCTTCCATTTGTAATGGAATTATCTACTTTGTGCGTCTTCTACCATTGCACTTTGGAAGCAGGTAAACTGTATTCTAGATTAAAGATGAAGAGGAATTTTGCTGAGGATGGATTTTGGACTTAGAGTAGATTTAAGATTTTGGGGATGTTATGATGGGGTGAAAGTATTTGGCATGTGGCAAAGACATGGATTTGAGGGGGCTGACCGGTGGAATGTCATGTTGTTTTTTTGCTGTTCATGCTATTGGTAATGTGTATTATGTTGATTTTCTAATGTTAAATCAACCTTGCATTCCTGGGCTAATCCCACTTAGTAATAGTGTATAATTCTTTTTATGTGTTTCTGGATTTAATTTGCTAGTATTTTGTAGATATTTTTTACATGCATATTCATAGAGGATACTGCTTTATAGTTTTCTTGTGAAGTCTTTGTTGAATTTTGGTATTTTAGGATAATACTAACCTCACATAATTGATTGTTACCTTTTACTTTTAATCTATGTATATAATTTTATTTAAAGTGAGTTTCTTATAGATAACATAGAATTGAGTCATTTTTAAAAAATCCAATCTGATAATCTGTTTTTCAATTGGTATGCTTGTTGTTGTTGTTGTTGTTGTTGTTAGGTGCCATTGAGTCATGTGTGACTCATAGCAACCTATGCACAGCAGAATGAAACACCTGGTCCCGCGCCAGCTCCATGATCCTTACTGTACTTGAGTCCATTGTTGTAGCCACTGTGTCAATCCATCTTGTTGAGGTTCTTCCTTTCTTTCATCAACCCTCCACCTTGCCAAGCTTGACATCCTTTTCCAGGAAATGGTCCCTTCTGATAACATGACCAGAGTAGGTGAGATGAAGTCTGGCCATTCTTGCTTCCAAGGAGCATTTCAGCTGCACTTCCTCCAGGACAGATCAGTTAGTTCTTATAGCAGTCCATGGTACTTTCAGCATTCTTCACCAGCACCACAACTCAACAGCATCAATTCTTCTTTGGTCTTCTTTATTCATTGTCTAGCTCTCTCATGCATATGAGGAGATTGAAAATATCATGGCTTGGGTCAGGCGCACCTTAGTCCTCAAGGAGACATCCTTGCTCCTCAGTACTTGGAAAAGGTCCCTTGAACCAGCTTGCCCAGTGCTATATGATGTCTAATGTTCTGACTGCTGCTTCAATTGGCGTCGATTATAGAACCAAGCAATGTGAAGTCTTTGACAACTTCAATCTTTTCTCCATTTATCGTGATGCTGCTTATTGGTCCAGTTGTGAGGAGATTTTTGTTTTCTTTATATTCAGATGTAATCCATACTGCAGATTGTATTCTTCAATCTTCATCAGTAAGTGCCTCAAATCATCCTCCCTTTCAGCAAGCAAAGTTGTGTTGTCAGCATATTGCAGGTTGTTAATGATTCTTCCTCCAATCTTGATGCCACGTTCTTCTTCATATAGTCCAGCTTCTTGGATTATTTGCTCGGCATATAGATTGAATAAGTATGGTGAAAGGATATAAGCCTGACACACTCCCTTCTTGATTTTAAACCATGCAGTGTCCCCTTGTTCTGTTTGAATGACAGCCTTCTGGTCAATGTACAGGTTTCTCATGAGTACAATCAAGTGTTCTGGAATTCCTCTTCTTCTCAATGTTCCACAATTTGTTATGATCCACACAATCAAATAGTTTGGCATAGTCAATAATACACAAGTAAACATCTTGCTGATATTCTTTGCTTTCAACCAAGATCCATCTGACATCAGCAGTGATTCCCCTTTTTCCATGTCCTCTTCTGAATCCAGCTGGCACCTCTGGAAGTTCTCTGTTAATATACTGCTGCAACCGTTTTTAATTATCTTCAGCAAGATCTTACTTGCGTGCGATATTAATGATACTGTTCGATAATTTCCACGTTCTGTGGGATCACCTTTCTTTGGAATGGGTACAAATATGGATCTCTTCCAGTCAGTTAGCCAGGGAGCTGTTTTCCAAATCTCTTGGCATAACTGAGTGAATGCCTCCAGCGTGGCATCCATTTGCTGAAACATCTCATTGGGTATTCCATCAATTCCTGGAGCCTTGTTCTTTGCCAATTCCTTCAGTGCAGCTTCAACTTCTTCCATCAGTACCATTGGTTCTTGATTATATGGTATCTCCTGAAATGGATGAAGATCTACCAGTTCTTTACACAGTGACTCTGTGTATTCTTTTCATCTTCTTTTGATGTTTCCTGCATCATTCAATATTTTGCCCATAGAATCTTTCAGTATTGCAACTCAAGGCTTAAATGTTTTCCTCAGTTCTTTCAGCTTGAGAAATGCTGAGCATGTTCTTCCCTTTTGGTTTTCTAACTGCAAGTCTTTGCTCATTTCATTATAGTAAATGGCTTTGTCTGGTCAGACTGCTCTTTGAAATCTTCTGTTCAGCTCTTTTATCTTGTCATTTCTTCCATTTGCTTTAGCTACTCTCCACTCAAGGGCAAGTTTCAGACTCTCTTCTGTCATTCATTTTGGTCTTTTCATTTGTCTCCCTTAGCTGTTCGAAATCTCTCCACCCTCCCCACCCTCCCCTTACATGGATCCCTGCCTCTTTTCTGCCACTTGGGGGCCTGGGTCTCTGGCCTTACCTGGGTCCCTGGCGTTACCTGGATCCCTGGTAAGGGACAGCTGCTGCTTCCTTGCTCTGTCCTGGTGCCCCCAACCCCCAGCTTTTTCTCTGCTTTCCCACTGCTTGGGAGGGGCGTGGCCTCGGTGTCTGGCCTTCCCTGGATCCCTGCCACTGCTTCCATTTATATTTACTTAGACTATTTATATTTACTGTAACTATTGAAATATTTGTATTTAAGTCTATCAGTTTTTTATTCTTTTTTCCCTCTGTTTTTCATTGCTCTGTTTCTTCTTTCCTGCCTTTATTCTTTTTTTTTTTCAAAACAGTCTTTTTTATTTTTGCAGTGTTTCCTCCCCTTACCTCCCACCCCCCTGTCCTTTATTCTTTCTTGCTGACTATATCTTGTATATATATTTTAGTGGTTGTTTTAGGGATTAGAATATACATATTTTATACATACATACTTTTCATAGTCTGGTTTAGAATTAATATTTTACCACTTCCAAGGGAATGTAGAAACTTTTACCTTTCTCCATTTATGTTATAATACATCAACATACACTGAAACCTCTGCTAGACAGACAGTATTATAATTTTTATTCAGCCATCATATGTATTTTTAAGAACTCAACAGGTGAAGAATACTTTTCATATATATCCATACTTTTACTATTTTTGTTGATCTTCCTGCATTCCTCATGTTCTAAGTTTCCTTCTGATGCAATTTCCCATCTCTCTGAAGAACTCCTTTAGCATTTCCATTAAAGCAGGTGTTATGAAGTCTCTTAACTTTCCTTTATGTGAAAATGTCTTTATTTCACCTTCATTGCTACAGGATAGTTTTGCTGGATATAGAATGCTAGGGTGACAGTTATTTTATTTCAGCATTTTTATTTATTTATTTATTTTATTTGGGTGAAGATTTACAGGGCAAATTCACTTTCCATACAGCAGTTCACATATACTTTGTCTCATGTCATTGACCACAGTTTAC